TCCCCTCCACTGAAAAGAATGGAGAATTTCAACGACCATTCGGCCCAAAAGAATCATAAACTACTACTATTACCTACTATATCCGGAGATACTTTGTCCAAATAAGAAAATCTCTTTGACCTCCCCTCCACACCTGAAAAGAATTCGAGAATAATCAATTTCATACTTGTGAGTACCATTCGGATGAGCAAAAATAAGAAAATCATAAAACTTCTACTACTATTACCTACTATATCCGAGAATCACTATGAGCATACTTTGTCCAAATAAGAAAATCTCTTTAACCTCCCCTCCACTGAAAAGCCAATTTCATCGACCATTCGGCCCAAAAGAATCATAAACTACTACTATTACCTACTATATCCGGAGATACTTTGTCCAAATAAGAAAATCTCTTTGACCTCCCTCCACTGAAACTTCGGCCAAATCATCGACCATTCACCCCAAAAGAAATCATAAACTACTACTATTACCTACTATAATCCGGAGATAGATATGTCCAAATAAGAAAATCTCTTTGACCTCCCCTCCACTGAAACTTCGGCCAATTTCATCGACCATTCGGCCCAAAAAATCATAAACTACTACTATTACCTACTATATCCGGAGATACTTTGTCCAAATAAGAAAATCCCTAATCCACTGAAACTTCGGCCAAAAAAGAAAAGAATATAAACTACTACTATTACCTACTATATCCGAGATACTTTGTCCAAATAAGAAAATCTTTTGACCTCCCCTCCAAGAAAAATCATTTATTTCATCGACCATTCGGCCCAAAAGAATCATAAACTACTACTATTGAGTACTATATCCGGAGATACTTTGTCCAAATAAGAAAATCTCTTTGACCTCCCCTCCACTGAAACTTCCTGAAAAGAATCGACCATTCAACCCCAAAAATCATAAACTACTACTATTACCTACTATATCCGGAGATACTTTGTCCAAATAAGAAAATCTCTTTGACCTCCCCTCCACTGAAACTTCGGAGAATTTCATCGACCATTCGGCCCAAAAGAATCATAAACTAGCTACTATTAAATACTAAAATCCGGAGATACTTTGTCCAAATAAGAAAAATCTCTTTACACCTCCCTCCACTGAAACTTCAACAATTTCGATCGACCATTCGGCCAAAAGAATCATAAAACTACTATTATTTATATCCGAGAGATACCTTGTCCAAATAAGAAAATGACCTCCCCTCCACTGAAACTTCGGCTGCTACCATTCGGCCCAAAAAGAATCATAAACTACTACTATTACCCAAATATCCGGAGAAAATCATTTGTCCAAATCAGAAAATCTCTTTGACACCTCCAAAGAAACTTCGGCATATCGACCATTCGGCCCAAAAAAGAATCATAAACTACTACTATTACCTACTATATCCGGAGATACTTTGTCCAAATAAGAAAATCTCTTTAACCTCCCCTCCACTGAAAAATCGGCCAATTTCATCGACCATTCGGCCCAAAAAAAATCATAAACTACTACTATTACCTACTATATCCGAGAGATACTTTGTCCAAATAAGAAAATCTCTTTGACCTCCCCTCCACTGAAACTTCGGCCAATTTCAAATCGACCATTTAATCCAAAGAGAATCACTACTACTATTACCTACTATATCCGGAGATACTTTTGTCCAAATAAATTTGACCTCCCCTCCACTGAAACTAGAATTTCATCGACCATTCGGCCCAAAGAATATAAACTACTACTATTACCTATATATCCGGAGATACTTTGTCCAAATAAGAAAATCTCTTTGACCTCCCTCCACTGAAATAAGAAAATTTCATCGACCATTCCTGAAAAAATGAATCATAAACTACTACTATTACCTACTATATCCGGAGATACTTTGTCCAAATAAGAAAATCTTTTAATCAGAGACTGAAACTTCGGCCAATTTCATCGACCATTCGGCCCAAAAAGAATCATAAACTACTACTATTACCTACTATATCCGGAGATACTTTGTCCAAATAAGAAAATCATTTGACCTCCCTCCACTGAAACTTCGAAAATTTCCTCGACCATTCGGAAAAGAATCATAAACTACTACTATTACCTACTATATCCGAGATATGCTTGTCCAAATAAGAAAATCTTTTAACCTCCCCTCCACTGAAACTTCGGCCAATTTCCTCGACCATTTCGGCCCAAAGAAAAAACTACTACTACCTACTATATCCGGAGATAAAAATAAGAAAATCACGATGAGAAACTTGTCCAAATAAAAAAATCATTTAATCATTCTATAAAAGAATCATAAACCTGGAGAATACAATCCGGAGCTACTTTGTCCAAATACAAATCTCTTTGAATCACGATGAGCATGCTTCGGCCCAAAAGAAAAAACTACTACTATTTAATATCCGGAGATACTTTGTCCAAATAAAGAAATGGACCTCCCCTCCACTGAAACTTCGGCCAATTTCATCGACCATTCGGCCCAAAAGAATCATAAACTACTACTATTACCTACTATATCCGGAGATACTTTGTCCAAATAAGAAAATCTCTTTGAATCCCTCCACTGAAACTTCGGCCAATTTCCTCGACCATTCGGCCCAAAAGAATCATAAACTACTACTATTACCTACTATATCCGGAGATACTTTTGTCCAAATAAGAAAATCTCTTTAAAACTTCAGAGAGACCATTCGGCCCAAAGAATCATAAACTACTACTATTACCTACTATAACAATCACGATACTTTGTCCAAATAAGAAAATCTTTTAACCTCCCTCCAGAACTCGGCCAATTTCCTCGACCATTCGGCCCAAAAAGAATCATAAACTACTACTATTACCTACTATATCAAGAATAAATAAGAAAATCTTTTGACCTCCCTCCACTGAAACTTCGGAAATTTCATCGAGCTTGCCTTTGACCTTCCACTGAAACTTCAGTTTTGGACCATTCGGCCCAAAAATCATTTACTACTACTATTACCTACTATATCCGGGAGAATACAACTTTGTTATAAAAAATCTTTTGACCTCCCTCCAAATGAAAAATTTCATCGACCATTCACCTGAAAAAAGAATCAGAAACTACTACTATTACCTACTATATCCGGAGATTCATTCCAAATAAGAAAATCATTTAATCAGAGAGACACCACTGAAAAAGAATGGAAATTCAAAAGAATCATAAACAATACTATTACCTACTATATCCAAATAAGAAAATCATTTAATCAAAATTCAAACCTCCCCCTCCAATGAAACTTCGGCCAATTTCTCGACCATTCGGCCCAAAAAGAATCATAAACAACTATTACCTACTATGAGATAATTGTCCAAATAAGAAAATCTCTTTGAAAACTTTAATTTTCAAAAAGAATGGAGAATACAACGGCTACTACTATTACCTACTATATCCGGAGATACTTTGTCCAAATAAGAAAATCTCTTTGACCTCCCATCCACTGAAACTTCGAGACAATTTCATCGACCATTCGGAAATGGTACTACTATTACCTATATGTTCCGAGATACTTTGTCCAAATAAAAAACAGATGACCTTGTCCAAAAAAGAAAATCATTTAAAAAGAATCAGAACTACTACTATTACCTACTATATCCGGAATACTTTGAAATCCAAAATATATCTGTTTGTTTTCTCTCCAAATAAAAAATCATTTCATCAGGGACCCTTCGGCCCAAAATGAATTTTACTATTACCATATCCGTGATATCAGATCTTTGTCCAAATAAGAAAATCTTTTGATCAGAGAGACACCTGAAAAAGAATGGAGAATTTTTGCTAAAAAGAATCATAAACTACTACAACAATCATATCCGGAATACTTTGTCCAAATAAGAAAATAATTGAAAATCCACTGAAACTTCAGATTTCACACCATTCGGAAAAAGAATCAGAAACTACTACTATTTCCGGAGATTTTGTTGAAGAAAAACTTTTGACCGATTCATTTTCATCCCAAATAAAAAAATCATTTAATCAGAGAAACACCTGAAAAATCCAAATAAGAAAATCTCTTTGCCTCCCCTCCAAACTTCGGCCAATTTCATCGACCATTCGGCCCAAATAAGAAATCATAAACTACTACTATTACCTACTATATCCGGAGAATATTTGTCCAAATAAAAAATCAAAAGGCACTGAAATCACATACCATTCTCCAAAAAATCAAACTGATAATTTATCCGGAGATACTTTGTCCAAATGGAAATAAACCTCCCCTCCACTGAAAATTGAATATTTAGTCTCATAAAGAATCATTAAATAAGAAAACATTTAATCAGAGAGATATTTAACTGAAAAAATGGAGAATAGCCACTGCTATGAGTGATGATTTCTTCTATCAAGAATCATAAACTACAACTATTACCCAAATAAAAAATTTTTAATCAAAAATTTACCTCCAAAAAGAATGGAGAATTTTGCAGTCAACTACTACTATTACCTACATTCTGAAGGGAATTTGTCCAAATAAGAAAATCATTTAGAAAAAGAATGGAGAATTAATGCACGTGTTTTGAAATATACAACAATCACGATGAGAATTTGTTAAAATAAGAAAAATCTTTAACCAGAGAGACACTGAAAAGAAAATTCTAGATTTTTTTTGGATTTAGGAATATTCGGCCCAAAGAACATAATTTACATATAGCATCTGTCCAAATAAGAAAAGGATTTTTCATATTTTAAATAATATCTTTACTGAGCACGAAACACCTGGTAAGTAATCAATGAATGAATATGTTGCTGTGATGATCGCTAACAAAAACTAGAGGCTATGTCACTGGGCTGGAGAACCCTCAACCATGACAGATAGGGTCACTTACAACAGCTGCACATCACCTAGGAACCATCCCAGTGCTTTCTGAAATTTTCTAATTGTTTCAAGTCATGTCAGCACCTGAATAACTTTCAGATTTTAGAGGTTTTCAGATTTTTTGAATTTCAGATAAAGGATACTCGACCTGTAATAAATAAAATCTGTAATTTGTTGCAGTTTAAGGCATCATCATCGAGTGGCAGCCCATCAAAACAAACCTGTGCTCATCTGGCTCACCTGGCCAGCAAAACACCAGCTGAATATGAAAATTTTTTGCAGAGACTACAGAATCCCACACATACAGTGAAATGTTTAAGAAGAAGAATTCCTCGATTTGCAGAACTTGTGAATAATTTTGATATGTAAGTACAAAGAAAAGAATTCAAATAGTTTTTGGTAAATTAGGAACAAGTTAACACAATTACTACTAATGAGGAGGCACAGTGGAGTAATGGATAGCCGCTCGGATTGAGGAATCAGAGAGCCGATTTCGAATTCCAGTCGAATCCATTACATTCACTTACGTGCTAATACCCTTGGGAAAGGTATGAATCCTCTTCCTCTCCTCCCAGCTATGGGTAAATAGCAGGCAACTGGTCTACTGCATAAAGAAATGGCAACCTACTGCAGGGAAAAATCTGTCTTGTCAATCATGTATCAAAAGATACATGATCTCCTAAGCATGTATCACGCATGACTGATTACTTTTGTAGAACATTATTATTTCATTTTTGCTAAATTATTACATACATCTTCGTTTTTATTAGGTAAAGAATTCTTAACAATTATTATTAATTTCTGACTAGAAATAATTAGTACACTTTATTCCATTTTTTTAATGAGAACATCTCTAATTTTAACTTACATAAAAGATTTCAAACTTTTAATTTTTTAAATTTACTCTTTTATAACTTTTAAGAATAGTTTCAATTGATTTCTAAAATATTATTTTCTAAAATTCTCAGTCTTCCTTCAGTTTTTTTGTGATTTTTTTTTTTCAGGATGATCCATGTGTCACAAGAAATGCTTCAAATTATTCAAGACCCATCGCTTCAATCATTAGTCAACAATCAAAAATTGGCTCCATTGATTGCTGTACTTCTTAACACAATTTTACAAAACAAACCTGGTAAATATCTGTTTTTATTTATATCCAACTGGAACTTCTCTTTTATCATTATAATTTTTTTCCCCAGTCCTGTAACGACTGGTGACTGTAGTAAAAAGTCCTTTTTATATGTGACTAGTAAAAAGTCCTTTTTATTTGATGACTTTTCCAGGAATCCAAAAAAAAATCCTTTTTAAATATGTGACTTTTTAAAAAATCCTTTTTATATGTGACTGTAGTAAAAATTCCTTTTTATATGTGAAACCTAAATAAAATTTTTTTTATTTCAAGACTGCAGTAAAAAGTCCATTTTTATTTCGAGACTGCAGTAAAAAGTCCGTTTTATTTGGTGACTAGTAAAAAGTCCGTTTTATTTGGTGACTAGTAAAAAGTCTGTTTTATTTGGTGACTAGTAAAAAGTCCGTTTTATTTGGTGACTAGTAAAAAGTCCTTTTTATATGTGACTAGTAAAAAGTCCTTTTTATATGTGACTGTAGTAAAAAGTCCTTTTTATTTCGAGACTACAGTAAAAAAGTCCTTTTTATTTGCTGACTGTAGTAAAAATCCCTTTTTATTTGGTGATTATAGTAAGAAGTCCTTTTTATTTGGTGACTGTGACAATTCTGAAAACTGTTTGGTTTGTGCATGAGAACTATACATAAAAGTTTGAATGTCTTGGGTTTTAGATTTCCAACGTCACATAAGAAAAATAAGATGATCTTTAGACACTCATGATTGGCCAAACAGAAATTTGCCAAAATCTCCTTCCTAAGATGGGTGACCACTTGTGAATACCATGTACTGCAAGCTTGGCTGTGGGGAAGAAATCCCAGCATGCATCTGCAGGATTTGTCTATAAATTTGGGGAGAGGATTTTTTTTAGCGACCATTCCTATTGGATTGAAAATTATTTACAAAACATGGTTATTTTTTTCTTTAATTTGACTTTTAAAGCTGAATTTGCAAATTAGTCATTCACATTAAGTAGGAACCAATAAGTTAGTTAAGATTTAAGATACATGCTAGTCGAATGCAACTCTCTTGAAATGTCATGATATTTTATTTTCTTATTACAGTTATTGTCCATGTTTCACATTTGCTTAATGATTCATCCCAAGTGGAAAGTTACCTGCTAAGCCACACATCCCTGCCATATTCAATCGTCCAGACTCTGCTTAATTCTAGCATCAACATGAAAATGGTAAGTAGATGAATGTTGATATCACCTCCACATCAACCTACATGAGACACTCCAAAAGTTTTGATCATTTTTCAGAAGAGACATTTATTTATTTCAAAACTATACAAAACTCTAATCTTCCTACAAGTAGGACACTCCAACTTGATCATTTGTTAGTTTTCAGAGAAAGTCTTGTGTTAATTTCAGCAAAACTATTACAGAAAATTATGACGTGATCAAGGTGGCTTATAGATTAATGCTTTGAAGAAGGGAAGGAGATGAATAAGGGGTGTGATGAATACCTTGAATACTTTCAGGCTACAAGGTGGGGGGGGGTTGCTTCAAGAAGTTTTTTTTCCTCATATTCTGTCACTCTCAGTAAGCCCTTGCAGTGTCTTTGTGGTTTTATTGCCTTGCGGGGAGGGGGCTGAAATAATTAAAAAAAAAAAAAACTTGTAAGAAAAAGTTAGTTAAAAAAACTTACCAGATATTTCTTGTCTTTCAATTTTATTTCTAATTATTTTATACCCCAAGCAAAGCAATAAAGCCACTAAGATGCAAGGGGTTACTGAGAGTGAAAGAGGATGAGACGAATTTAGTAAGAAATATTTTTTTTATTTAATACAATCTAAGCTTTCGGCTTACATAAATAAAAAATAATTAAATAAAAAAAATATGGATCAATATTGTGAATTCCTTTCTTTGTTCAACGTTAATGTTATTAAACTTATCAGACATTACGAAAAAGATTTACATAAATAGACAACACTTGTCTATATTATTTAATGAAACATGTATGAATGAAAAGATGCTGCCTAAATACACACACTATATATATATAATATTATTTTTAATTTATTTTGTTTAAATGTTATTTTTGATGGATGCACATATTCAAGTATAAGCTTTTTTAAATGCTATTTTTTTATCCAACTACATCTACTGGCCTGAATATTTAAGAAATCTTGTCAGAAAGAAGACGCATATTTTTCTGACAATATTTCTTAAAATATATAAACATTAATGGGAGTAAATTTGTCTCTTAGCTGATTGATGTTACCTTCAGCATTCTGACTCTTGAGTTACTCAGACCTGTCCGTCCACTCTTCAGGGGGTAGCAGTAGTTTACTATATATATATATATATATATATATATATAACCACAAATTTAACAATATAGATAGAATTAATATATGAACCCTACCCACATTTCTCACCTACACAAGATTGAGGTGCTTGCAGAGGTGTTGAGTTCTCACACTTAGAGACATACTCATACCAATATATAGACTTACACACATCATACACACTCCCAAAGAATTAAAAGATAATATACACTCAACACAGACACATCCCCCTCCCAGCAACAAATGAAACTGTCTTTTAAAGTATTTGTCACTTACACAGATCTGTTCAGATACTGATCCAACCAATTACTTTCAAGCCATTTTTCATACTGTCTAGATTGTTCGGACTGTTGTCCTCATTTTTATTGTCATATTCATGACATTTCGGCTGTCGTATGTTCTTGGCTTCTTCAGGTGATGTGCGTTGGAATTTCATGGTTTGATGATTTGTCTTAAAATCTTGAATTTCCAATAACTATGGGAACAATTATGTGTTTCTCTGATTTTCACTTTTCTGTTTTTTTTTTTTTAAACCTTTGATAAAAGAATTTCTGTGTCATTTCAGTTACAAGTTATCAAGGAGTCACCAGAAAAATTGAAGGATATTCTTTGCAATCCTACCAATTTGATGCAGTACATTCATTGGCAAGGCAGTGAAGAATCTTTGCAGAATTTTACAAATGTTTTCTGTGAGAATTTCACTGCTACAACATCTGGACTGAAAATTTACCTTGATACCTTTGCAATCAAACAAAAGGTAAGGAAAATGACATCATCATAGTTTTCTACTTGATTTTATTTAGAAATTGGCATCTCTTTGTATGCATTTGAACATTGTCTTTGTTGCCATATTTGTGTTTCTTCTCTAAAGATCTCTGTGAGGACTGACCTGGAATCCTCTTACTAGCAACCTAGTTCCATTATCTATTTATTGGAAAAGAAATAAAAACATACAACCACTTATACAAGAGGGTATCAAAATGTTTCTGTAGTGCACCAACAGATCGCAACACATGGTTGCGTGCACAGTCAGAGCTAGCAGTGATTGTCCTGCATCAGTGACATCACTATGTTCACTTTGCAAATTGTTTTTATGATCATTTTTTTTTTTGACATCCATGCTAGTTTTTTTCTTATTCAATCCATTTATAATAGCCCCTACGTTCGGCATACAACAATAATATATAATAGTCCCTACGTTCGGCATTTTTTTTTTTTTTTTTGTTGAATAAATATTTAACCCCCCCACTTAGGGTTGTTGTGTTTTTTTTTTTTTTTTTTCACATGGTATGATTTTAGCTATCACCTATAAATATGTGTTTCTCTTTGCCTCGTTAGCCAAAAAAAATGACGATCCGTTTAGGTGAAACCTAGGTAGGTTTGTCTGTCTCACTAGGTGTATCTAGGTCTGCTCTACGATTTGTATTGAGCTCTTTTGTTAGTTAGTTGTTTACTCGTATCGGGGTTTTTTCTTTGGGCTTCAGACCTGCATCTGTGCAATTTTTTGTCGGCAGAAGTTCATGTTTGTAGCTCTTTCTTTTTTTAAACCTTTTTTTTTTCCTTGAAATTGATTTGATTAACAAATCAAAATTCGAGGGTTTTTTTTAACGAGTCTAGTTATTTATATTTATATATATTTATATATTTATATATATATATATATATATTTTACATATATATATATTTATATATATATATATATATATATATATATATATATTTATATATATATTTATATATATATATATATATATATATATATATATATATATATATATATATTTGCATAGATATATATATATGGTGCACTGCTCTTCATTAATGGAACCTTCTGAAATATTCATATTATTAGAACTTTCAACACTAATACAAAGCAGAACAGCATGCTGTCTCCAAATTTTTGGTAGAATGAATTGTGTCATGGTGCTCTTTTTCTCACAGACAATGCCTAATTGACTCTATACCGTGTTGTCAACCAAATCAAAAACAAACAATGCATATGCAAGTAATTAAAAATATAAAATGGCAACAATTTACCCATCATATCCTGCACATCCATAAAAAATATTTTGGCAATGGCCCAAAAATTGGATAATGAGAAAATTGCTAGTCATCACTATCCTAATTTAATTTGTCACATTCATTAAATCCAAATAATCTTCATTATTTCTTCTGTCGGTGGCACAGTGCAGTAATATATAGCAGCTTCAATTGAGGAATCAGAAAGCCAAGTTCAAATTTCAGTAGATCTCATTGCATTCACTTACACTCTAATAGCTTTAGCAAAGGTTTCAATCCATCTCTTCTCAGTTATTAGTTGAATAGCAGGACAGATTGTGTTCTATAGCCTTGGTTGGCAACCAGTCTAAGAGACAGAAAACTCTGAATTCAAACCACTTGCTGCCTTGTAGATTTTGCCTATTTAGCTTCTGAGAGGAGAAATATCAACATGTTCAAAGGGAACTGGCAAACCATTACACTATCCTGTGTCGAATATCACCATGAAACATAAATGTGGGGAGTGGGGGACTGTAGCGCGCTAACTGAATGATGATAATGGTGATGATGATTCCTTCCAACAATCAGTAAGAAACTCAGATTTTTTTCTTTTTACAGTTTCATTTGCGGAGAACAGAACAAATGAACAAAATGAATTTCTCCACCTGATGATGAAAATTTACTAAAAAGTGATTGTATCTGACCCCCCCCCCTACACTAGGCTTCAGTCAGAAAAAGTAACTTGTCAAAATATAACAGGGTTAAAATGAACAAAACAAAGTAAAATAATTCCACATCACCTGAGAACATTGTTCATTCTGTTTTCTAAAGGAGTTTGGGGCTGAGGACTAGAAAAAAAAAATAGGTCAGGGGAAGAAGAAGTGGTAATGATGACGTTAACCATTCCCCATGTTGGAAACATTTGACTTTCATTGACTGAACAGTTAGTGTTACACTATTTACATTATTCAGACTATTGTCCTCATCTTTGTCACCATATTTATTACAACGTTTCAGCCATTGTACGCTCCGGCCTTCTTCAGGTGGTTGGAATGTTGAGCTGAACCATTTATTTCACTCACTGGGGTAGACTGTCCTAGTTTTCGTGCCATGTCTAATGGATGTCAGTTATCAGTTATCTCCTGTTAATTCCCTCTCAAGTTCTCCACTGCTTTAACCAAGTATTGAACTCACACTTTTGGGTCCTGTCACTGGATCTAATTAATGCCTTTATCTACTGTGCCATGTGTCCTTGAGGACATCTGTGTATGAATTTCTGGCTATTATAAACCTAATGTCTTAAATTTTTACCAGTGCTCATATTCCCCTCTCCAAGTTCTCCGCCTTAACCAGGTATTGAACTCACACTCTTTGGATCCTGTCACAAGGCACAGTGGATAAAGGCGTTGGTTACATCCAGTGACAGGACCCAAAGAGTGTGAGTTCAAAACTCTGTAAAGGCAGGGGAGAACTTTCAGAGGGGAATTAACAGGAGATAACTGATAACTGACATCCATTAAACATGGCACGTGGAACTAAAACAGTCTACCCCAGTGAGCGAAAAAAAGGGTTCAGTTCGACATTCCAACCACCTGGAGAAGGCTGGAGTGTACAATGGCTAAAATGTAATAAACATGGCGACAAAGATGAGGACAATAGTCCGAATAATGTAAATAGTGTCCATAATATCTCATCTCAGAAATATAGACAGATACTGAAGGGCCGAAACGTTGTAATAAATATAGCGACAAAGATGAGGACAATAGTCCGAATAATGTAAATAGTGTACATAATACCTCATCTCAGAAACATAGACAGTGTTAGTTAAACTATTTATATTTGGACTGTTGTCTACATCTTTTGTGTTGTTAGCACAATGCTTTGGCTGTTGTTCCTGCCGACCTTCCTCAGGTATGTATCAATCTAAGCAACTTAAATAGAATTCTGAAGTGAACCCTTTGTTTAATCTATGGGGGTAAATTGTTCTCATTCCACTGTTCATGTGTAGGGATATTGTCTAATTTTTATTTTTAGTATGGCTCAGTTATTGCACGCCTGTTTCCACTGAGTCTAAGTACCCGTCCTGGGTATAACGATAAACTACATCCACATCCAGGGTAAGACAATAAACTACGTCCAACAGCAAGCCTCTGATCAAAAGGTTTTGAGGAGCATGGAATCACCTCTTAATTGCTGGTTTGCCCAGATCCACCCTGACCCGGGGTGGTAGCACCTGTTAGGGTCCTAGCTATGGGAAAATAGTTAACCCCCAAACTGAGGTAAAAAGCATTAAGAAAGTGAAAAAAAGGTTTTAATACCAGAAATATTTTGTAAAAATTATTAACGGAGATAATTTTTTGAAGGAAAAAAAAACAAACTATTACCAGCAATATATTTTTGAAAAAAAATATTACCAGCAATACATTTTTTTAAAATAATATTACCAGCTATGGATTTTTGACAAAAGAAAATATTACCAGGAAAAAAAATTGTTGGCATTAAATAACCCATTGAGGTTAATATGCCATAAAACAAAACCTAACCAAACTGAGTCCAAGTACATATGGCACTCAACAGTGGAACGAGAACTGTCTAACCCTTTAGATTAATTAAAGGTTTCTGTTCAGAATCCCTTGTAGATCAGTGATAGTTTCTATTCATAATGTTATAAGCAAAAAGACCGGAACAAAAGATTAGTGAAGAAAAGGTCTAATCCCATGGGGGAAGTGATTTAATAATGCAGTAATAGCGAATTTCTGACCATGAGACCTGAGTTCAAACCTTACTATGGTCAATTTGTCAGGAAGGTGATTGCTTGATGTTAACAGTCTGAAGGAAGGGATCCCAGCATGTCGCACTTTTGGAAAGTGCCTGAAAATCATACCACAGGTTGACTCAAGCATTGTCAGTGAAATTTGGTAGACAGAACCCTTGGGAGTCATCAATAGTTGTGCTAGCATGAAGTCACAAGTCATTGTGACTGAGGGTTTGAGCATGCTAGCCTTATTCAGACTTGATCACGCTAGATAATGCACTCTCTCCCAGAAACTGGAACTAAGTTCCACTCAGCATAGTTGTAATATAAACCACAGGTGACTTCTGTGGGTGTTGAACAAAGACAAATGTGCCTGAGCAGTCATCTGCAATGGGGATTAGCTAGCCGCCCTAGTAGACTGGCATCCTCGGATATGAGTTGTTGCACCATTTACATTTCAATAGTGATTACTATAGTTCAGTGCGTCAAAGCGTATGACTCAATGCTACACTTTGCAATCCCCTTTGCAACAGCTGTTCCTATGATCAGCAATTAGTGTTGAGAAGATCAGTCGCTTTCCTACACAACAGTTACTCAGATTGATATACACCTGATGAAGGTTGGGGGGTAAATGTTGTTTTTTTCTTTTCTCACATGCTTCTTGCTTTTAGTTGTTCTTTCACTGTTCTTTGTTCATCCATCTTCTTACATTGTGCTTTGTTCGTTCATCCGTCAAGTTACTTGATACCTGATACGTGATCAAACCGATATTTACCCAACCTCCCCACAAAGCAGGATATGGGGTCGGGTTTGTCTCCCTCCCCAGACAAGACTCTGCCCTTCAGCATAGCCCGTCTGGGTTCCTCTCTTATTTGTCAAACTCCGGGCAGAAAGTTTGACAAATAAGTTTTGATGCTTGATCAAGCCCTCTTTACCAACTAATTTCGCATTGACTCATATCATCATTTTCCTACTCACTGTTGTTCCCTGTTGTTTTCACTATC